CCGCGTCAGTCTCGATAATCTTTTGCGCGGCAATGGGCGCACAGACGGCGTTTTGACTTACATCGGCAAACGTCCCGCGACGCTCGGCAAACGCAACGATGCCGTCAAGCTCGTCTATACGGACGGTTTTACGGTCGAGTTCGAGTTTTCCGACGAAAGTTTTCCCGTCAAAGCGATCTATAAAATGACGAATCCCGACGATGAGGAAACGACCGAAGAAGACCGTTACGCGCAGTTTATCGAAGTTCAGGGCATTAAAGCTCCGTTTATAATTGATCGTTTTTCAAACGGTGTGCCTTCTTCACGCATCAATTTTGAAAATATCGAATACAACAAGAAAATTCCCGATTCCATTTTTAATAAACCTAACAGTGCGAAAGAAGCTAAAAAAGACGTGAAATTTTAGATTTTGAATGAATTTACAGAATCAACGCTGGGGAAACTTAGCGTTGATTCGTCTTTTAAAATGAATCGTCATTCATTTATACTTTAGTTATGAGTTTTTCCGAAACGATTTTTCTGACGGGTTTTCCGGGTTTTATTGCCGAAAGATTGGTTGCGCGGCTGGCAAAAGCGGACGTGCGGTTTTTTCTTTTGGTGCAGAAAAGCTTTGTCGAAAAAGCTAAAGATGCAGTTGAAAAGATTGCTCGAAATACGAAAACTCCGCTCGAAAATTTTGCCTTGATCGAAGGCGACATCACGCTCGAAAATCTCGGAATGTCGGCAGACGATCTCGAAATCGTCTGCCGCGAAACGACTGATGTTTTTCATCTGGCGGCGGTTTACGATCTCGCAGTGGAAAAGGATTTGGCATTTCGCGTCAATGTCGAAGGGACGCGAAACGTCAACGAACTCGTCAAAAAAATGCCGAATTTGCGCCGTTATAATTATGTTTCGACCTGTTATGTTGCGGGAAAGCGCGGCGGCGAAATTCTCGAAACGGAACTCACTCACGATGCCGGATTTCGGAATTATTACGAAGAAACGAAATATTTGGCGGAACTCGAAACCGAAGAATTGAAGAAAGATTTTCCCGTCACGATCTTTCGTCCTTCGGTCGTCGTCGGCGATTCTCAAACAGGCGAAACGGCGAAATATGACGGGATTTATTATTTGATCCTGTATTTGCAAAAATTTCCGTCGGTTTTTCGCCTGATAAACGTCGGAAACAAAGACGTGAAGCTGAATCTCGTTCCGGTCGATTTTGTTGTTGAAGGAATGGCGGTTTTATCGAAGGATGAAAAATCTATCGGCAAAACCATCGCACTTGCCGATCCTGCGCCGCTCAACACGGAAGAACTTTTCGACGAGATCGCCAAAGTTTTTACGGGCAAGGAATCCGTCATCACACCTCCTGCGAACTTGCTCGAAAAGTTTATGAATACGCCTTTTTCATCCGAAATCAGCGGCTTGCCCAATTCTGCCGTGCCTTATTTTCACGTCAAGCAAAATTACGATACGAAAGTCGGCGAAACGCTGCTCAAATCTTATAATGTTGTGTGTCCGAACTTTCGCGAATATGTCGCCAATCTGATTCGTTTTGTCGAAGAAAATCCGAAACTCGATTGATTTACCGAAACTTTACAAAATTCTTCCGATTAAAAAAGCATACTTTTTCAATTTTCGCGGCATCATAAAAAACAGTTTACAAAGTTGAGAGGTTTTTATGTCTGCGCGAATCAAATTTTTACTGCCTTTTTTAATACTTTCTTTTGCGGTTTTTGCCAATGCTCAATCAGGCAGAAACGTCCCGACACCGACACCGACACCGGACGACGACACGGAAAAAGTTTTTACCGAGGAAGTAAAACTGAACGTCATTGCCTTTGACGAAGAAGGTAAGTTTTTTAACGGCGTGAAAGCCGAAGATTTGGTCATCACCGAAAACAACACGCTTCATCAGGCTTCGAGTATTCGCAGAATTCCTGCCAACGTTTTGATCGTGATGGACACGAGCCGCGATCAAGAAAAAATCGAATTTCGGCAAGCGTTCGGCTTTTGTCAGTGCGCTTGCTTTGGCGGAAGATTTTTTGCGGAAAAATCCGCTTGATAATAAACATCTCGTGCTGATCTCGGATGGTACGGACAGTTTTTCGAGCGTGGAAGAAAAAGCGTCGGCGATGCGGAAATTATTGGCGACCGACATCAATGTTCACGTTATCAGCTACACGAAAATGGAAACGACCGACATTGCGCCGCGCACGAAAATGATCTCGAATTCGCCGCCGCCGCGCGCGTTGCCGCCCGAAATCGCCGCAACTCTGCCGAACGGTGCACGCGATGCCGCAACCGCGCCGAAGATCGGTCCGACAATCAATCTCGACCGCGCAATGCTGAAAAAATTGAAACAGCGTAAGGAAGATTTGGAAACGAGCGAAAAAGCGTTGCAAACATTGGCGGCAAACACGAACGGCGAATTTATTTTGCCTGAAGACGGCGATGAAATGCTCGAAAAAGGTGCGTTGGTCGCGCGAATGATCGATTCGAGCTATGTCGTCACATACGTTCCGAAACGCGCGTTGAGCGAATCTGCAAAAGGCGAAGAACGCGATATTGTCGTCACTTCGCGCCGCGACGGTTTGCTTGTCGAAGCGAAAAGAAAACTTATTGTAATAAATAACGAATAGCGGGAAACAGTTATCAGTTATCAATCGTGATTATAGATTCTCGCTTGCTGTTGCAAATTACAATTGAATCGATAAAATCGGCGGTAAATTCCGATGAATCGGCGGCGGATTCTCAAGAATCGGTGAGCCGCTTATGGGAATCCGATAAAAACTCTCAAGAGCCTTTCGCCCGTTCTCACGAATCTGCCCGACAATCAAAGGAATCTTTCCGACGCGCAAAGGAATCCGCAAAACGTTCCGAAGAATCGGCGCGAAAGTCTTAGGAATCTCTTCAAAATCCTTAAGAATCTTTTCGAAATTCTTGGGAATCAGGCACGATTCCCGCAAAGGTGAGAATTTTTTTCCCATTTCAAGTATAAATTCATACATATTTTGTTGTTTTCGCCGTTTTACTGATTTACGGACTTGAGATCAAACCTGCGATTTTGAGCTTGAAACGAAGGCTTTTTTGCTTTCAAAAACAATGTCGCCAAATAAACGCGAAATACGCGAAAAAGAAAGTATTAAAGTTTTTTCTTTTTCGCGTATTTTTACGTTTATTCGCGGGCAAAATTATTTCATTTATTCAACAAATATCGAAGGCACGGGCGTTGCGCCATTTGCGCCGAACGGATACCAGTTAAAGCTGTTGTCCGAGCTTTTCAGATAGAACCAGAAATTATTTGCCGGACGGAAAACTGCGATGTCCGCTTTGCCGTCGCCGTCGAAATCGGCTTGGAGCGGTTTGTCCGAACTCAGACCGAAATTCACCACTGTAAAACCTTGCTGACTTCTCAGAAGATACCAATTTCCGTCGGTCGGTCGGAAAACGACGTAATCGGCTTTGCCGTCGCCATCGTAATCTCCGGCAACGGGTTTGTCGCCGCTTGTGCCGAAACTGACGGCGGAAAATTCGTTATTCGCGCTTTTCAGCACGAACCACATGCCGTTCGAGGGACGGAAAACCGCCAGATCGCTTTTCGCGTCGCCATCATAATCGGCTTGAACGGGGATGTCGCCGTTTTGCCCGAAAGCGTTGGCGGCGAACTGATTATTTGCGCTGTTGAGCCGATACCAAACGCCGTTTGACGGTCGAAAAACG